TCTAGGGTCACACATCTTGGTACTCATTTATGATCCTGGTAAATATTGTTTTTTATAGATAAATTGGAACTGTTTTGTTTTAAACATTTATTTTGACATTGTTTGTGTTTTAGAGACAATTACAGTTTTCCAAGGAGTTGGCTCCTGCCAGTACTTAGAGACAATATAAGAGAGACAGAATTACAATTCTTTATCCAGTTTTTCCTACCACTTGCTGCAAAACTCAAGAAAAAATGTAAGTTAAGTTTTATTCATTGTGTTTTGATGTGATTTTCTTATTGATGGTTAATTACCATACTGCATATAGTATGTGTGTGTATATGGTGACATAATCTCTCTCAGTTTAACAGCGAAAGTAATTAAAAAAAGTAGACATAATGTCATAATCAGTATCTAAAAGCATAATTTTTATGTTCCAGATACTTTACAATATGCAACATTTACAAGGGAAATATTTTACATTACATGGCCAAATTAGTGACGTTTTGTCTTTTTTTTTCAGCTTTGGAACATGAACAAAGTGGTCGTATGATTGAGAGCAAAACATACAATATTCTACAATCACAGATATGGTCACTGTTACCCGGTTTTTGTAATAGTCCAACTGATCTCTGTCAGTCATTTAAAAACATCGCTCGTATCATGGGGACTGTGTTGAATGAAAGACCTGATCTCAGATCGGATGTCTGTGCAGCCCTCAGACTGCTGGTCAATAAAAATATCAACAATGGTAGGTTACAGGATCCTTTTTTTCTTCTTCTTTCAGGAATGAGTTTATGAGAAAATATTACTGTGGAATACTTTATTTTCGCTGGAATTAATTTTCGCTGAAAAGACTTTTTGGACGTTTTGTATGAAATTTATTTTTCACTGATTTTTGGTGAGTTTAATGTGGAATATAGGAAAAAAAGTATATTCGCTGGATTTTATTTTCACGGAATCATCCCTTCAGCGAAAATAGCGAAAATAAATTCCAAGCGAAAAGTATTTTTGGTTACTTGATGGATTTCTTTTATTTATGATTCCAGATAAAAACAAAAATGAGATGAAGAAGTATTCAAAGAATTTTTTGCCAATTTTATTCAACATTTACACCACAGTTGACGCCACAAAGCTGGACACAACAAGATTTACAGTATTAGAAACCATTAAAGTTTACCTCATAATATCCGACACTAAGGTTTGTGTTTCTTTGAGTCACTTGTAACAGTTATTTGCTCTCTGATATAATTTATTTATTTCTTGAGTTATCACATTGAAGATCACACTGGTTGTATGTTACTATGCAATTTGTCGTTTATGTTGAAATTATCAGCACTGGTACATGGACTTTTTATGCATCTCCATTTCACCACCAGACTTTCTGACCCAAATGTTTCTGCACTTTTTAGCTCCACTGTCGACTTTGTCAAGCTGAGCTTATCATATAAGTGATTGTTTGTAGACTTGGGCGTTGTCTTCCACGTCAACTTTTTACCTTTTCGACAAGCAGTAAAATGCTTGCAAAAACAGTATTTTCTCTGAAATGTACAATCTGATAGCACTCAATCAGTTATATCGCCTATGGTGGGTTATCATGTTCATATCACTATTCATGGCTTTTGCTTGACTGTTTAATTTTTCGTGGAGAATATTTGTATGATGTTGCAATGCATCATGGGAAAGAGGTTTATCATTTACTGTATGTGACTTCGAACTCACACTCGGGATTGTCAGTTCGTTCCACCTCCAATGTGATTTTTTTTGGGGGGGTGTCATGTGACCTCATAAATACATTAATGTTACTCTAATCTAAATATTGTACTTGTAATTGTACTTATCAACATTGGTGATAGTTGTTAGGTGGCATGTCCTTAGCAACTATTTCTATAGCAACCATCCTTGGAGTCAACATGGTTTTTTGTATATTGTGTATAAATGGATAAGTATTTAAAAAAATATAATCAATGGTTAAAAAACTATAGTTCAGCAAGTACAAGTCATACCAGTAATTCAGTAAAACTATCATTTTGATTGAAACAAAAATGAATTTTAAAATTCCCATTTATTTTATGAAATTCAAACTGTACATGTATAATAATTTATTAGTACCTTTGAATTTTCAAGCACAAAATATTAGTGCTTAGGTAAATCACAGAGGTATGTCTATCGTCAAAATAAGTCATATTTTAATGATCCAGTATAAAACAAATACAATTTTTGTGTCAGTGCTAATAAAATAGATATGGTTAGGGAGTTAAATAAAGGTTAGTAGACTTAGTATTTATAATATAGTTATAAAATCATTGTAAAATGTTTCTATCCTGTGGCTGTATCTTTAATAATGACCACTGTTTTGTATAAATGTATATGTTGAAGGGAATACAATTACTTAATTTGCATAATGTCCTTTCTACTGATACATGAGCAAACTTTGTGGAACTATGCATGATTTGTATTTGAGCTAGATGGATTTAGAAATATTTGAGATTAAAAGTTCATTTGAGATTAAAAAAAAAAGTGTTTTGCCCAGAGCAACAACATTGATAACCATCAGCTCAAACTATAACTTCCTTAACCTCTTCTGTACATGTCCATAATTATGTATTTATTCTTCAAATATCAATTGTCCTGTTTCAGTTGGTTAATGGTTTTCTGGATAAAACGTGTGATAAGCTAATCAATGATGAGGTGACGTCATTGGTAAAACATGCTGTAATGGATCTGTGCATTGGTATGGTGCCATATATAGACATTGAGAAGCTTAACAAAGTCTATAAAACCATAGTTCCACTACTCACAGTAAGTATTCAAGGGTACTTCTTTAAAACTTAACAAATCAGATTTGTAAATTTGTTAACTATGTGTCCTATATAACCTTGAATTTTATAACTTTGTGCTAGTTTTTCTAAATTTCAGCTGCTGCTTATAATCAGGGATTTAACATAATTTGATTTACCGGTAGTACTGACAGAAAATCACTTCCCGTATTAGTGAATCTTTGACAATATAGTTCATAAAGAGAGCCGCAGAATGTTAAAATAGCTTTTATTGTAAATATAAATGTATATTTAATTTTAAAAACTGAAATTCAAAAACTTTTTTTTTGGTTCGTCAGAGCAAAGACAAAACTTTACAGAAAAAATCATATCGTATTTTGGAGGAAATATGCGTGAGCTCGTCAGAAGCAAGTCAGAAGTTTGTTGAAGAGAATTTATGCGACTTACAGAAGACATTACTAAGTTCTCTATCCAGTTCAGCATCATCATCCAAGGCAGTAAGTTGTACTACAATCTGAAAATTCATAGTTTCTGCTTGTATGTTATAAGTACAGCCAGAGGTACATTACTAGTACTTGGGGTTTGCAACGCGCATAGTACTGTATGGTGACATCATTTCAAGATCCCATTCAAGTCTCATCTCGTAGATAGCGAGACTGATGCTACAACCTTCTGACATGACATAGGCGGTTTGTAATAAAACAATAAAACATGTATTACCACATTCATAGTGAAAAAATTAGAATACATCGAAAATGTACAGAAAATATAGTTATCGTAATCTGTCATATCGTGAGCAGCTATTTTGATTCACCTGGACATCCCAGAATCCTAGTTACCTCGAGCATGCACATTCGCATTTTTCTGATGCAAGAGCGAGATTGAAACAAAATCTTGGTATCATGTCACCGTAGTTGCAAACCCCAAGTAATGTACCTCTGGTATGGCGTATATATATTTATTTGCATATAACTCTTGCATAAACATTAATACACCATACTTGTAAATGTGTAAAATGTAAAGTGAAAATATACAATTGAGCCAACATCGAATAGCACATTAATATATATATATATAAAGATATATACATTGTATAATAACAAGAATTTAAACAATAAGATCTAAAACATGCGAGGATGAGTTTTTCATGTCTGAAACTTCCTAGATTCGTTCTGTGTTTGTCATTTTAGCCCAGACTACGATGCTTGATTTACATTGTAAAGCGGTTACCAGACGAGAATTCACAGTTTGTTGACGATATTGTGAGTGAAGTCATACTGTGTACAAAAGAGATCGGTATCAAAGCCAGACAAGCTGCATTTAGTTTATTAGTTGAAATGGGTAACGCAATTATTAGAATAAATCAAGACAAGAAGAGCAAAGCAGGTGAGTTCAAATCTGGACATTTTACTGTGTACTGCATTTTTAAAAAAGCTTTTCAATATCATTGTCTCTTGCAAATTGAACTACTACCTTTTCTGCACAGAATGCACACCCAGTCAACATTGTATATTCGGATAAAGCATACTATCTCCCTGTTGCATATTTTTATATTCAGCAAGATTTTATATGACAGGTATTTCATTAATGCAAATGAAACTATTTGTTTTCTATCTATAGAATGTGTTGGTGTTTATATAGAAATGATTGCTATTGGTTTAGTTGGCTCTACCACAATGACGAGTGCGACTGTACTGGCGCTAACACGACTGCTCTATGAATACAAAGGTAATTCTAGATTATGCTCAAGACGGCAAATATTCCGACTATCCAAATGATATTCTAACCTTTTCTCCAGGATGCACATTCAGTTTGATGGCTGTAATATCTAGCACAGAGGTGACTGAGGTTGTCTACTGTGTATTTGTTTTTGTGAGGAAAATAGTTTGGGTAATTCTTTGGGTTAACTTCAACATTGTCTTCAACCATCTTCCATTTTATATTCTTCAATTATCCACATTTTCAGTTTAGACGGAACCCTTCGATTAGGGATTTTCTATATAATCTTTCAACATTAAGAGATATTTATTTAACTACAAAAGAAACCTATGATATTGATGAGATTTCTAATTTCTTTCCTCCATAGATCTTATTCCTAGTGGCATATTGGCTGAGCTGATTGAGAATGTGTGCATACTATTGAAATCTCGTAATAGGGAAGTCGTCAAGTCTGCGCTTGGATTTGTGAAAGTTCTCATTATAGTTATGAGTGATGTTGCTCTTGCTCAGCATCTAGAAAAACTGGTAAGTATAATGCGAGTGTTCATCCTTGGAAAGTAGCCTACATCAACTATGCATTTTACATTTCACGTTCGGTAAATTAAAAAATATTATCGTTTTTTTGGGGGGTTTTTTTCCCCGTTCCGACGCAGTCTGAAAACGGGGACTTATTTTTTGACCTCTGTGTGTCCGTGCATGCGTCCGGACCTGTGTCTTAGAAATGCCTGGACCAATCACAATCAAACTTCACACATACATCATACATGATATTATACATATGCACGTCAATTTGTTTCACGATCTGATTCGAGATGGCCGAATGGCGGCCATTTTTGTGCTCAAAATCATCAAAATCAAGCATTTCCCGGCTGTTTACAGATGGAATCTGTTCAAACCTTGTATATACGATGGACATCATAGGACCTTGATGCACATCATTTTGTTTTACGATCTGATTCAAGATGGCTAAATGGCGGCCATTTTTGTGCTAAAAAATCATAAAAATCAAGCATTTCTCGGGTTCAAACTTGATATATACATTAGACATTATGGGACCTTGATGCAAATAATTTTGTTTTTCAGGTAAAATTTAAAATGGCTGCCTGGCGGTCATTTTGTTTAAATAAATGGGTTTCCAGACCCATATGTCTGACTTGTTTTGACTGATTATGTTCAAATCTTTGATATTCATTATACATCATGTCATAGATATACAGATATATTGCTTTGACGATCCTTTTCAAAGTGGCCAAATGGTGGCTATTTTTGTGCTAAAACAATCCTCGAATATCAAGCATTTCTTGCATTTATGGATGGATTTTGTTCAAACTTATAACACACATTAGACATTACAGGTTCCTGATGCACGTCATTTTATTCTTCAGATTGGATTCAAAATGCCTTCTGGTGGCCATTTTGTTTTAATGATTGGGCTTCTAGAGCCATATCTCTTAAATGCTTTGACTAATTATATTCAAATTTTATATATTCGTTATACATCATGTTATATAAATATACATGTATTAAAAATGGCTGATTTTGAATGCTGTTCCAGAGCAATATCTCTCAGTATGGACAAGTACCCGGTACTTGTTTGACGATCAGATACAAATGTCAATCATTTTAATGTTAAAAAAATCATATTCCTGACATAGTTCCAGCTATATTACTATAAACAAAACTATATATCTTAAATTTGATAACTAACGGGGACTGTGCCATGCATGGCTTGTTTTTTTTAATTGTGTTTTTCAGATAAATAGTATGGTGACGTGGAGCAGTGACAGCAAACATCATTTTCGGTTCAAGGTCAAAAATCTTTTTGGAAAATTGATGAAAAAATTTGGGTGAGTATCTGACATGGTTTATTTAATCTGACTTGTCATTTATACTGACTTTGATTTTCATGTTACTTATAGAATTAAAGAATTATTTATTCAGTGGTAACCATTCTGTTATAAACTTATTGATGTACAGAGCTGGAATCGTCTTTAAAATGGTTCCAGAGAGTTATCACAAAATGTTGAGAAACACGCAAAAGATACGTGAAAGAGAGAAGAAAAGACGATCCATTCATGAAGCTGTGAATGCTCCTGATGATGACAGGCCCACATCAGAAACTCCCCATGCTAAAATAGAAAGGTAAACTTCTACCAGTGAAGATATTTTCACTGAAACTCACTTTAATGTATAAAGTGCATTACTATTAACAATTTCATATATTTATAGTATGAAAAAAGAATGCTATCTGAGTCGACTGCATGGAGTATTCCCAAGATGCATCACTCCTCAAGTTATATTGTGATGAAGCTAGCTTTAAAGATTATGGTGCAACATTTTCTGCATTTTTCTGAATTTTTCTCTAATTTTGATGTTAATTTTGGATCAAATGGAATTAATTTCACAATGGCTACAGATCTTAATAAACATTTTTGAAAAAATTTGAACAAAATTGTGCAGGTTTAATTTGTGACTAAAGCAAAAAAAATTATTGTTGAAAGTTTTCATAACAATCTGTCGTTATTTCTACTCAGTATTGAAGACTTACTGAGAGATACAGACTCTGAGGATGAGGAACCAGAGAAAGAAAAGCCGCAATCAAAAAAGAAAAAACAAGCTATGAAGAAACAACAGAATGCTGCATGGTTACAAGAAGATGCTGAACAGGAGCCGCTAGATTTCCTGGACCCCGGAGTATCAAAGAAAGTTCTAGGTAGGATGGAATTTACTCCCATCTTTAAGCTTTCCACTGTCTTTTATTAATCCTTTGAATGCCAATCTCAAATTCCAATAACTTTCACAAATTCACTCACGTAGACTAGTTGGGCAGAGATGTATGTATAACCAGTTTCTTTGAAAAGTTAAAGGACGGTGGTTGTCGCGCCGCATCATGCTTGATACGAAACCCATAGTGATGTATACAACACATACATATGTATTGTTGGCTAACATCAAATTTGAGAATGCTATTCGACGTCCATTGTCCTTCTACTGCACGCCAATTTTTAAATTATCTGTATGAACATTTTATGCATTTGTGGTATTATATGCTTGTTCATATTGACATATATATAGCTGCTGTTTTAACTTTTACTCTTCTTAATTATCATTATCTTCTTTAAACTTATGTTGTGTCAATTCATTCTCATAGCAACAAAACCTGTCGCACAAGTTGTTGATGAAAAATCGACTGGGGTGAAACATGATTTCAAGACATCATCTGACGGTAGATTGATTATCACCCTGGATGAGGAGGAAGGGGATGAAGGAAAACAAACAAAGAGAAAGAGGAAACCAAAAGATGAAGTAGATGAACTAGACGAACTGATGGATGAAACAAGTCAAAGCAAGGTAAAGACGCAAAAATTGTCTCATCATTAAAGGTGTAGTGTCATCTGATAGTAAAAATAAAAGTTCTGTATATTTCATGTTGTTTATTTCATAATGCATGTTATGTTTTTGTCTACAGCCAAGTCGTAAACGTAAACTAGAGGATAACTCTGATGATGAGCTCCCAGTGAAATATAAAGGTACGTGATTTGTTTGAAATCATTATTCATGTGTGAAATTTTTTTAGAGTAAATGTCATCTAGACACTGTGTTTGAAATGTTTCCTAAACCATGCTTTTCATAGTTGATATTTTATGAGGAAAGTTTGGAATATTTCTGTTATGTTCAGGTAATTGCTGTTGGTACAAAATAATTCACCAGCATGACTTTGTGTTCAATAATCAAACATGTGGCCTAACCTGCATTTTTTGTAAATTTATTTGTTTGTTTCATCTCTGTATCAAATACTGAGTCAAAAAGATTATTTTGGTACTAAGTAAGTGAAGATGGTATGCCTATCACATCACATCACATCTATTCTTGTGATAATATCATGCTATTTGCTGGAAATGAATTTTTATCCAGACACAGATTACTCTTCCATCTGTTGTCTAGGTGATGCATATATGCACATATAGCTTGAGTGTATTCGCTTGGTGCCACAAACTTAAAATTCCTTGTCACTTTTAATATTCCATGGTCACGATCATTATATGAAGTGTTAATTAATTAATTTCTATTCTTACAGCTGGTGGTGGTGGTATTCATCGACCAATGAAGTCCGCTAAAAGGCGAGGAGATTTGACCAGTGGTGTAGACTTCAAGGCAAAGGTATTTGCATGGATTTTATGTCAACAAACCTTGTCAGCTTTCTTGTTTGACTGATATTTACCCCTATAAATGTGACTACATGTAATGTAAACAGTGAATCAATATGTCTTTTTTTGGTCTCTCTTTACAGAAAGCAGGCGGTGACATGAAGAAAAAAGGCAAACCAGATCCATATGCATATATACCATTGGATTTCAAACAGTTAAACAGAAGGTAGGTCATTGGCACCCATTATCACATTCAATGTGATAAATTTGCAGTGCAGTTGTACTGCCCTCAATCAATCTAATTTTTATTTTAATACTGTACTTGCATTCCTTATTCACTGAGTTTTAAATTTGCTAATAAGTAAAATCCGTGAACATGTAATATAAGAAAACATCTCATTGTTTTGCTGAACTTAAAAATGCTGTACATGTTTTTGGTATTGATTTTCTAAACTGATATTTTCATATAAAATATTTACTGAACCACACAAAGCTATATATTGATGGAAAGCCTATTTCACACTGGATATGAAATCGACAAGATAGTGTGTGTATGGACGTGTATAGTCATGTGATCTCTGTGTAAACACAGAAAGCCGTTTTAGGTAAAAAAATAATTGAATCAATGAATAAACGAATTTAGTGGAACATTGGCAACAAAACAGTTTTTCAGACGACGCTCACCACCATTCCGCGTTGATTGAGATATATATCTACATGATACTTGGACAAGAAATAATAATTTAGCTATCTTGAAAAAAACAATGCGATCTGGTTCTTTACGGTATTCAGAAATTAGAACGTAATTTCGAAACAAATAGGAAAATAGAAAAATCCCAGCGTCGCTTGAGAGGGAACATATCGAAGAGTGTCTGTGCAAAAAATTAGTATAATGCGTCCACTAAAACTCGAGATCAAAGGCCTGCAGTTGCCGTGAATCGCTGTTTTGTTTAACCGACAAAAATGGCAAAAACAACTTAGCAGCAACGTATCGTCGGCTAACTCAAAATTCGTTTGTCCCATGGATCAAAACAAACTCATAATGAATAGTCATGGAATCTGTCTGTCATAATCACGCAGATGTGTGGATATGCGTGGTCGTAATTGGTTATAAAGTACGAAATTATGCTTCCAGATCCAATAGAAAACACTGTTTCACGGTGTGACAAAGCCGCGCAAAAATGACGTCATGATTTACATATTCATTATTAAGTTGTGGGAGGAGACGCTCCTTTTGTGGAGGGCTCGTTACTATACATTGCCCTCCATGGAAGGTCATTCTCTTGCTCCGCTGCTGAACCAGTAACCGTTGCTGAACGCACCCCCAGAGTCAACTACGTATAGTTTTCTTTCCAAGATTTTATTTTTACTACGCGAGATGTCTCAACGAAGATCTGTATTATCTGATTTGAATGACAATGAGGGGGAGAAGTCACAGCGAGTGCTGAACTGAATCAGGAGATGCGATCGCTTGGGTTTACTAGTAAAGTTGTCTGTCGATCGGGCGGTGAATGTTCAGTTTATTTGCTCCATTATTATTTTGTAGATTTGTAAAATAACCTGTTTGCCATAAATCGTGTTTTCCGTTTTTTAGTTTCCAAAACTGTTGTGACAAAATTAGTGTGATGATTCTTTTTCCATCTTCAACGCCTAATATATAGTATCGGAACAACCGCTGGCGAGGACTTAACTGCCGGTATCTTACATTCAGTCCACTTTCTATATCATGTATAACAAATCTAACTTGATTCCGTCAAGTTATTCATTGAGAATGTGAAAATTAAGAAAAATAAAACAAGGATGCTTACACACAGACGCGTACGATTTCTTGTACAGCTGCTTGTCCCAGGCTTTATGTGTGGCCAAGTCCGGGGCCAAGTGTTTCACTTCCGACTCATTGTGGTCGGGGTGTCAATGAGTCCATGACACGTAATTTGGTCACGAAAACTAAGTCGAATTTTCTACCTCCATGGTCTGATCGATTAAATCGGGGAAGGTACTAACGTTAGTACCTTCCTTGATTAAATTTTCTAAATAATCGCTTTACATACTGTCGACGTTCTTCCCCACATTTCCTTGGATTCGTTTTCTTTCGTCACTGTCATAGTCGACCCCATGACGGTTTCATAGTCGACTACTTGAAGAGCGAGAAATTCAACGAAATTAAATTTGTGGATGATCGTAAATGGAATGCGTGTAACTTGTACCTCGGACTACTAATACTTGTATTACTAGTTTGAACTTGTACTGAATGCAAGAGACTGTTTATATTTACTGTGGGTTGTGACTATTATGCAAATTATCTGTCTATTATGTCTTTGGCTGATTAATTAAAACATTGCTTTCAAAACAATGACATGTGCTTTTGTTTTTTATTAATAAAAATTGATATTTACACCCTATAAAAACATCCAATTCACTTTTTTTTCTACTGAGTGTTTGCTCCCTGTGGTCCAGCATTGAAAAATACAAAAAAGTAGAATTTTGGGTTTCAAAGCAAAAAAAAAACGTGTACAGCATCCTTAAAACCCAAAGAATATGCTCAAAATGGTGAAATTAAATGCGAGTGAAAATGAATGGTTTTACAGTACTTGAAATATTGAATGTGCCCCAAGAGGGCGCTATACCAAAATTTGATCAAATTTGCAATAACTAGGCATCACATATCCTGTAGAGGGCGCCATACTGAGGCAATATTAAAGTGCAAAAATAATGCGACTACCGGTAATATCTGTAGTCATTGATTTAATTTCAGGAAAAAGGCCAAGTCAGCGGGTCAGTGGAAATCTATAGTCCATGCTGCTAAACGGGGTGCTAATAAAGGAATGAAAATAAAAGGACAGAAACGAAAAGGAAAAAAATGAACCCCGAGAATGGATACCATAACTTTTTTGAAAGTATCATAACTCACTGTAAATATGTGATCGACATGGACTCTATTGCATTCATTTAATTCAAATTAAAATGTAATCTGTGGATTAACTTATTTTTAGCTACAATCTGATTTACTTGATTATGCTAAGAGAGTTAAATCAACTTTAATAAAAGCTTGTTAAAATTGATATTTTCTGTTATCTTCTATATATATTCTATCAACAAGAACCATGCATAAAATTACGATTGTTACGATTGAAACTAATTCCATCTAATATAGAGGATATCTATTAAGTGGGTGAGCTTGTGTCCAGGAAGATAATAATTATGATACAAGTTTGGTAAATGTATGTTATGTCATGGGTCATGAATAATTTTGATATTCCACTTATCACGTATGTCTTTCGTAACTATTGTGTCGACAAAATCATTATTTGTGTGTCTGCTTTCAAATTTCTTAGTGCATTTCATCTCATTTGCATACAGAATGTACATTGCAGCCAATTTATCTTATTTATTGAACCAACCAATATATTTACAGTTATACATGAGACACATAAGCAACATTTGAACTCAATTTTGACGTGTTTCTATCAGCAGTTGTTAATCATCCCAGCAGCATTAGTAGCTGTACAATAGAGAAACAAATCCTGTCTGTTGCCATGACAAATTACACATATGCCTCTGTGAAACACTTTTGTGCATGCCTGAAAATACCCCTATGTAGTGCAAACATCAATTATCACCAAAATAAATTTTTAGTTAACATTTTGTTTTTGAAATTGCAGTGTTGACGAATCTCTTTCCCTATCTCCATTTGTCATTGTAAAGTTATGCTATTATCAATACACCTTTTCCCACTCACACATTTGAATGAATGTGACCATTTAAACTTGCGTATATTGTTTTTAAGAGATCTTTATTGCATTGTTACCATGGTAACAAGTGATTCCAATACAGCAGTTGTAACTAATGGTGTTTCATATGCAAATTAGGGCATATATAATTCCAAAAATAACACAGAGCTTATGTATCTAACATAAAGATTGTCTTTGAAAGATTGAGAAATCTTTCTAAAACAGGAGAAACAAATTTATATATTCATACTCCATCCACAATGCAAGACAAATAATTAGTATCTCCAAAAATCAGCGGCAAATTGTCGTACAAGTAGTCGCAACCAGAGAATCGTTCTCTTATTTTCAATACTAAAATGATTTAAATTCCCAGTGATGTATGATGGGATATGTTGATTGACAGTAATTTTATGAGTTAGTAAATGGTACGGTGAAAATGAACAGGGTGTGATTGGGTGATTAGGTGAAATTAAAAATAAGTGAATTGAGGAAGTGAGCAAATGAAATAATTGTGGTATGATGAAATGAAATGGTGGTTTGGTGCAATGAAGTGGTTGCGGTATGATGAAATGATTTGGTGCAATTAACAAATAAAATGGTTGTGGTGTAGTGAAATGAAATGGTGATTTGGTGCAATGAACTAATAAAATGGTTGTGGTGTAATGAAATGGTGATTTGGTGCAATGAAATGGTGGTATGATGAAATGAAATGGTGATTTGGTGCAATGAACTAATGAAATGGTTATGGTATGATGAAATGAAATGGTGATTTGGTGCAATTAACTAATAAAATGGTGATTTGGTGCAATGAACTAATGAAATGGTTGTGGTATGATGAAATGAAATGGTGATTTGGTGCAATTAACTAATAAAATGGTGATTTGGTGCAATGAACTAATGAAGTGGTTGTGGTATGATGAAATGATTTGGTGCAATTAACTAATAAAATGGTTGTGTAGTGAAATGAAATGGTGATTTGGTGCAATGAACTAATAAAATGGTTGTGGTGTAGTGAAATGAAATGGTGATTTGGTGCAATGAAATGGTGGTATGAAATGAAATGGTGATTTGGTGCAATGAACTAATAAAATGGTTGTGGTGTAATGAAATGGTGATTTGGTGCAACGAACGAATGAAATGGCTGTGGTGTAGTGAATGAACAAATGAAATGGTTGTGGTATGGTGAAATGAACAAATTAACTAGTGTGGTGAAGTGAACTAAGGAAATAGTTGTATAGTGGAATGAACAAGTGATAGTGGTATGGTGAAATGAACAAATTAGTTAATATGAAATGAAATCTTATTGATGTTGCCTTAAATAACTTGTATACTACACATAATCGAAATTGTACACAGTGTGGTGAACAGTCTCCCAATCATATGATAACTAAACCAAATACCAATTAAATTAACTTTTAAATATTAATATTGCACTTTAAGGTACACTGTGCCATGCGGGAGATTAATAAAATATAATTGTTCTAAATTGCGGCCTCCACCCCCATAGGGTAAATGGTATGGTTGCATTGTAAGCCCCTTCACCACCAAATAATGACCCTTCACTCCTATATTGTAAATGGAATGACCTATAAACCAAATCCTCAAAAAGTATACCGACACAATTTTGTGTATATCATTTTTTAAATAATTTTCTCAAATTTACAATTTATGCTATGCACTTGAAAATCCGATGAGAGAAGTACTGTCACGTGATGGAGCCAGCAAATGGAATTTGTTGCGACATGTAAATGGTTGACTGCGAACGACCAATCACCTGCCATCAACGATTTCTTTTGAAGGAGACCTGCAAAAATGATAAATAATTCATTCTTATTCGATCGTTGTTTTTTTTTTTATAAAAATCATGACTGGTTAAAAGCCAGCTTATCTCGTACCCCGATGGGCGGGATTGGTTAATCGTATGCAGGTAATTACAAAACGTTGCATTGTGGGAAATAAACATCAGCGCTGATATGGTATTCATACATTTTATGTAGTATAATTGTTACTATTTTTTGACAATAGAATGCAATTGTATATGTTTGAAGTTGTCATTAATTTCAGAGAATGCATTTATCTAACAGTACCTGGTGTTAAATGCTGAATCTAATGTTTAATTCATTATAATAGCTATCTCTTCCTCTTCCGCGGCAACGTCCTCGGCAGCTTCATCGACTACCGGTACTGCATCAGTTGCCGGCGGTAAATCTTCTGCACCAGAACCAGAATCGGAACCTGATCCACCTATTATATTAAATAAGCAATTGGACATCTGTGTTACTGTTTACGACATGCATAAGGCGGCACGCGACGAGTGCGTTTGGGTTTTGTGTTAAGGATTCAAATATATTCTAGACCCTTTGCGTACGTAGCGTCGAACCCATAGCCAACTCAGGTTGCCCGACCAGGCGCGAATTCTGCCGTGCAATTCGCGGTGTGTTTTGTTTTGTTTGTTTAGTGGAAATGTTAGGTTCCCTTTTTCAAAGAAGGTACTCTAGATGATGTTTAACCCAACATTCGGTTTCCATGTAAACGCGTTTTATTATATATAGTAGAATTTACGAACCTGACTAATAAATTTACCCTCAATTTGAGATTTTCATTTTCAGGGTTCCGTATCAAAATTTTGCTTACCGGAATGCCCTCGAAAGAGGCACGTTCATGTAGGTTATTTTGGGGGTGGAGTCAGATGTCTACTAACTATACTCAATCGTACTTGGGAAAAACTGGCGATAACAACGAAATAGTCGTTGACAATATAAAATATTTACAATTATGTTTTGAGGTATTTCTGTCGGGATGTAGTCCCGAGATGTAGTCGCTTAATTACACCGGCGGTGTACCTCCGGGATGTTTCCTCAATGATGTGTTACGTCGATAATTAACAGTTGATGTTAAACGACATTAGCACAAATCTATGTAGGATGTAAATCGGCGATTCTGAATTCCAATACATGTATACGGAATACGCACTGTCGTTTTTTGTTTTGTTTTTTTTTCTTTTTTTCGTTTTCATTTTCTGGAAAGTCAAACAAAATTCATACTCACTTTCATCATCTGCGTGCACTGTGAGAGAGATGATTCCTATCACGATCAACAAAACCAATATATAATTCTTCATTTTTGAAATCTTAGATATAGAATGAATAGAAAATAAAAACAACTATATGAACAAAAAATTTACCTGGACAAAGCCTCTACTTAGCAATGTCTATCACGCATGTACCATCCAGAACTTTACGGGTGTGGCTTTTGTTTTTATCATTGCAAATGTGTGTTTTTTTACTTGCAACGTTTGCGTATGAATATTTTAAATGAGTAACTGGGATCAAATAAAATAACAACTCGGCATCTTACCTGATCTTGGTGGCTTCTCTTTTACGCAAATATAACACCTTTCCCGGACCGCTGACTTCACCACGAGACGATGCAAGAGGAATGCTTCAATTAGTAGTTGTGTTTTTGTGTTAAACCTTCTCATGCGGCGTCGACCACTAGTCAGTCGACAAGCTGTCGCGATCGTTAACATAAAGTTCCGGATATGTTAATTTTTTATTGTGATATTATTCCACCTCGTTTTCGTATATTCCCAAATTTAATTTTGGAAATGTCATTTAATTGGTTAGTAAATAACCAAGTTTACGACGGCTATGGGCGAGTTCAGGTGATTAAAAATGTTCAAGTACATAAAATGATAATTTACAACTTCCATGTAAAAAAATATTATCTTTTAATATGTAAACGACCTTCCGTTTACATCGAATCTTGTAATGCCCAATATAGATAAATAAACTCAAAAAAATCAAATAATCGTGATAATACATCTACTAGTATATACCCGTAGACGGGGTGAGATTTGAACAGTCTTACGGGCACAGACGAAAACACACTTACAAAAAGAATTTTTATTTGGGATAGTTTGCCGTGTGTTGGGAACTGGCCAGCTGAAATGTATGATTTGTTTAAATATTTTGATAACAATACATTTATGCAAGATTTAAAAAGAATTGTAGATCAGAGAAATACACGTATCTGAATCTCTATTGCTCAGAAAGATTACTACGGTTTCTGCTCCCTTCGAGAATTGAAAACGGATGTTTCAAAGGAGACGTACTGAATTAATAAGTGTATTCTGTAATTATAGTCAAAGTATTGAGGCTGAGCGGCATTTTTTACCCCAATTTTTTTTTACGACGATATTCGAGTTAGTTTATATAAACCAGTAGACGAGTTGTGTATTGGCTTTCGAAATTTCGACGATACTCAGAAATTAAATCATATAGTGTTTTATAATCCTCGGGCTATATCTAAATTCTTTCGTGCTTTTCGATAAAAAAAACATAATATCTTTTTACCGATGTATCGTTTTTATTAGAGACGTATTATATATATTTGTTTGATGATTAAATTTATTTATGTAATTTGAATTATTTATTTCATAAGTAATGTACGCCTTTAATACTTATTTAATTAAAGTATATAATTATTGACCTTTAAGCGCGTTGGCTTGAGTAATTATGTATTTTACCAGTAATGAGCGTTTTTTTGGGCAAAGATGTTGGTTCGATCAGGGTTACTGTTGATATTTAAACTAGAATAATATAAATGCGATATTCCCACATAATGCAAGTGACTGTGACTATGGAAGAACAAAAAGTAAATTACTATAAGTAAATATTGTATTTTCCGTACATATATACTAATATGCATAAACGTAGACAAAATCAACATGTCCGACACAACAGGAGTAAATTGTTTCATGATGATTTATACATTTTAGCTGTCACGATAATCGTTTATCTCGTCGTGTTATTATTATGCTTGTACTTAGCAATGTTATTTATATTGCTTATTTTGTTTGAAAAGCTTAAAAATGAGACCAATGTTCGAGGTTATTTAGTTTTAAACTTATATTTTGCAATGGAAACTTCGTCGGCTCGCACGGTTTCGTATCGGTTCAAAAATTCCACTCTCAACGAATAATGCAGTATATATTGATAAATATAATTTAACAATGTATTCCAACATATAATATTATATTATAGTAAAGCCATTATTGTTTATTCACCCAGGCAATCAATTGGCATGAATTTGGAGACACTGATTTTAACCTGAGTTTGGAAGTGTTCTCATCATAATTTGACAACACTTAATACATACACAGTATTGGCGACAAAATATCATATAGTGAATTAAACTATATCCATTTATTAATATAATACATAATGTAATTATATCACAATACAGTAATGGCGACTGATGTGTAAAGAAAGTATATACTAAAAAGGTTATTGTGTTTCTAGGTGCATTGTTGCACTCTGAAATGAAGTAAGAGCATTTGAAGAAAACATCATTTACATCTAAAGCATACACTGATTTGTATTATTTGCACAATGGCACCATGTAGTACACGATGGTAAACCTGATGGTATCATCTCACCTTGTATGTGCTCAGCATGCTACTATTTGGTGGCATGAAATGTATCCAAGCTCAAAGAATGACATCATCAATTTTTATTCTTTCTAACTATTTTCATATATTAAATGCGACACAGTATTAGGGAACCACAATAGAGACATGATTTTTATGATGGAATTCAATAGCTTCATATCTAATATACTTCACAGTAATTTATATAAATTTCCAGCTGTTTGTCACTTTTTGTGGACCCATGAACTTGTTCAGAAAGAAATCATGATTGGAAAGGTCAGACTGACCAGTGAAAACTTGTTGTCTATGTATGTATTTGTACGTGTCTGTATGTGATTGTCTCAGGGTTTCGACTTACACCTATCCATCTCGTCACTGTAAGTGTGCTTTTACATTACACATCATTTAGATCAATTGTTTGGGGATGGTTACTGTGAATTTATGAGTTGCACTTTTGCTTACAGTGGCAAAGTGCATTGTGGTGGTCATATCTATATATGTCGGTGATGTAATTGCACTGTAATATATATTTAGTACAATATATTTATTTTACTCCTATGTCAGAAACACAACTTTATGTGCATTATATAATGTCAATACATATACACCTCAGTTATATATACACCTCATTATGTGCCTTATATAATGACAATACATAGTTACATATACACCTTATGTGTGTGATATAATTGCAATACATAATTACATATACAACTCATTATGTGTGTGATATAATTGCAATACATATTAATTGCAATACATAATTACATATACAACT